ACAAAGTCAATCACAGGATTCCACTGTAAACGTTACCAGTCTTCCTATGTCCTACATTTGATGTTTCTTCTAAGATACTTCTGAAAGAGGATTGTGTCACTGGTTCAGATTAGGCTATTAGCCCTGGGAACCCATGATGCTGACACTTGGAAAAAAAATTTCTCCATGTTTGTACACCAATTTCTTCTTCTTTCATGCAGTGATATGCGCTGTGCATTCAAATTTTTTCTTTTTTTTTTTTTTTTACTATCAGGTTGTCTCTTCAGTGAACCAAAATCATTCTGAGTTACAAATCTGTCCTCCAAAGTGCTCGACAGACTGCCCCAAATTTTACCTCATGAAATTTTATACTCATATGCTGTCATTCAATATCAAGGCAGTTGACGTAAAGGAGGCTGAGGGGAGACCTCATCACAGTCTACAGCTTCCTCACAAGGGGAAGCAGAGGGGCAGGCATTGATCTCTTCACCCTGGTGACCAGTGAGAGGAACCAAGGGAATGGCCTGAAGCTGAGTCAGGGGACTTTAGGCTGCATATCAGGAAAAGATTCTTCACCAAAGGGTGATTGTGCATGGGAATGGGCTCCTCAGGGAAGTGGTCACAGCACCAAGCCTCAGAGTTCAAGAAGTGTTTGGAAAATGTTCTCAGGTGCATGGTGTCACTCTTGCTGTGTCCTGAGCTGGCCTTCAACACTCCTTGTGGGTCTCTTACAATTCAGGATATTCTATGATACTATTATTCTGCAATTGCATCAATATTGGCTGTGAATATAATAGTTTAAAAAAACACTTAAAAAAAGGTGTTAACAACTTGAGCACAGGAAAGGCTGCAATGTATATCTGTCTGTATGAAGCACTTCATTGTTCTGACCACTATCAGCAAATTCTAGTGTTTTTTATTTGGACTAATTAGTAGTCAATGACATAGATAAGATGTGTGTTAACAACCTCCACGGGAAAAAAAATCACCAGGAGGCTGTTAAATAACAGCAGTGGAAAGGTTAAATCGCTCACTCAGGGTGAGTCTGTACCCTACAGGAAATAATTTCCTACACAGGACTAGTAAAACACTGCTGTCTCAAGCACTGGTATTTAAGACCTGTTCAAAACATATTGTTGTGGTTGCGGCTCCAATGGCTCCTGATGCTGCTACTAAAGTTTTCTTCTACCTAAAACTTAACTTTAAGAAATACACCTTTTTGTTCTTGCCTCTCTGCTGCACTCACTTGCACTTGTGCCAGCATTGCTGGCAGCCTAGATAAGCTCCAAGGCTGATGACTGAAATGATCTTCATTGAAAAAAAAAAAAAAAAAGTAAACACACCATCCCTGTGATCTTTGTCAGGACTCTGTGGAAGGAACAGCAAGAACACTTGTGCCACCACAAATGTAAAAGAAACACAAAGTTACCAAAGTTTGCACTTGAAGCTGGTGCAAGCACTATCCATACCTGGTACTGGGGGAGTAGAAATGCCAGTGAGAAAAATGCTCCCAGCTGGACCCCTAATCATCTTTGAAAAACAATGATATCAAGGCATGGGATCAGAAGGACCAAATACTAACCAAATTGAAAAGTAGCAGTAATCATTCATCTGGAAGGTATATTCTAGAGGCATACTTGGGACCCAACCAGAGCATAAGCCTCTACAAAAGAAAAGAAAAAAAATTTTAAAAGGAAAAATAAAATGAAACAGAGAAAGAGAAAGAGCAAAGCTATGTCTGGAAAAGTTGCTCCATGGGAGTTACCCTGGTTACCCTTCTCTTCACAGGGAGAGTCAAGAAGCAGATCCAGGTTGTGTCTGAAGTGAACCACACAAAGTCAGTTCGTTAAAACAGGAAGTCTCCTGGCATGTTGACAACTTCAGTTTTATTAAGCTGAATAAATTATTATTCACATTACGTGGTGTTATGACCTAAAAAAGGAACTATATGTTCCATAAATACATGGTATACCCCCCTACGCTGGAGGCAGATAACCGGGGAGGACAGCAGGGTAAGAGCAAAACCGTAAGTAGCCACTGAGGGTTTGAGCACCACTTCAAGCAGCGCACATCTCTTGACATGAACGGGGGCGGATGCACACATGAAGATTGTCTTGCACAGAGGAGCGCTGTGGTCCAGCCTACAAACTCTCGCCCCAGCCCCGCTCTCCGCAGCTGTCACACGCAGCGTCAGATCCCCGGTGGCAAAGCAGTTGCACAAGTCTCTACGTCCTTTCTGTTCACTTTTTAATAATGTTCTTCTCTAGGCTTCACGTTCTTGCCTCTGTCCGGCCTCCCGCATGCGGTGGCACGGCTGCAGGGATGCGCTCCGGGTCGCGGCCGGCGTGGGGACACGGGGCAGCCCACGCCGCGCTGGGTGTGCGGAACACGGGTGGGGTACAGCGGGTGCCCGCTGCCTGCCTCACACTGCGTCTCTGCTGTCATTGCGGGAAGGCGTGGAGTGAAAACAGTGCTCGTGTGATGCAGCTGTATCCGCTCTTAATCCTTCATTAATGCCTCATCAAAAGAGTACTGTACTTTTCATTTGTTTCGTTCGCCGGAGGTCAGCATACTTGGAAGCTATTGTCATACAGCATTGCAGACTTTTTACATATTTCTCTGGTATTGTTCCAAGCCATTGTATACGCAAATGAGTCAATTGGTATGCAGATTGTCTATCATTAAAACCGTTTCAAAATCAGCTTTGTTGTGGGTTTAGCGAGGAGCCTGCATACCCCTCCTGAATGTAATGCGTGGTTGTGCACTAGTGCGGTGAGGTGGCTGTGGAACCTCACATGGGACCAGTCCTCGTTTCCATACTGGCAGAACTTGCAGTGCAATCGTGGGAAATTTTCCCTGGGAGAAAGTTTGTGAACTGAAGCCCTCTGCTCGCAGCACCCTCACTTTGCAAACCACACGGGCTGCGTGTGGCCTTATCGGTGTCTGTGCTTTTCCCTTGCCTCCTTCTTTTATTGGGTTGTATTTTACTTCAGTGTGTGGTCCTAAGAGTCTGCAAAACTTTTCCTAGTCTCCTTGGGAGATGTGTCAGCCCCAGAGCTGGTCCTGCCTTTCCAGCAGGCAGAACATCTCTGCAGCTACCATCACTGTCTGCACCAGCAGCTGCCTTGCTGCCCATGGCACTGAACCCTCTTCATCAGCCCAACACATCCAAACTTCACACACAGGGCAGAGGCTTCTGCTTTGTTCTTACTATTGAATTTCAGCCTTGAGTGAGAAATGGTGCTTCAGAAAATAAAGGCCACTTGCCTTTTCTATCACCTTGGCACTGTTATTTAATGTTTTTCCTCTGTGATTTTTTAGCAGTTATATCAGGAGGTTTAGAAGAACAGAAAATGTAGATATGCAATTCTCACCAGAAGTTGATGAGAGCTGAGTTAGAGACCATCTGTACAAACCCAGTATATACAAGGCTATGGGACCTCATAAGTTGCAGCTAAACGGGCTGAAAAAGTTGGTTAACCTCAATGCAAAACTGTTTTCTATCATCTTTGAAAAATCATGCAGGTCACAGTGCCAGACAAGTAGGAAAAGTCTAATTTATGACCATCTACCAAAGATCTGGAAAACTACACACCAGTCAAGCTCACAGTTTTCCCTGGAGAAGCTGTGTGTTGAGCTGTCATGGAAGATATCCAAGCAAATTAAGGTCAAGAAGGTGACTAAGACAAACCATATTGGATGGCCTTCTAAGATGAAACAACTTGTTTGATAGATGAGGGGAGAGCTGTGGAGAAAACACTACCTTGATTTTAGCAAGACATTTGACAGCATCTCCTAAAAAATCCTTGTTGACAAGCTGGAAAGGTTTAGTGAGCATGGAATTACAGCAATTCTTGACTACTGAAGCCTGTTGTCAACAAGACATATTTTTCAGTCTTGGTTTCCAAAGACCAAACTTAAAATAATAAGCATGAAGAAATTTTCCATTACTTTCAACTATTTCTTTATTTCAAGATGAACAGATGTAAGTCAGACAGTCATATCAAGATTTATCAATGGTCTTTTTTCTATCACATCTGAAAAAATCTGTTAAAATCAATGCCCAGTCCAGACCTATTAAAACATTGGCTCCTGGGGGCAGAGAAACCACCTCCCTCACTTGTCAGCATCTGGGGGAGAGATGACAATCTTTGACATCACTGTTTGTGGCACAGGTGATTGCTAGAGTGTGCTTGGGGATAGTTTTCTAATGTCCATTCGAAGCCAAACTTTAGTTCAGTCTTGATCTACTGCAACTGTATGGACTTGTGTTATTTATTCCAATCAACTCTGGAATGTCAAAACAATTTTTGTTTTCTGAGCAAACTGAATACTACACAGTTGTTTAAAAGGGTACTAGCAGAAAAAACGTCTTTTGCACAAGTGATTTTTGGTCTTTTCTTTTGTGTTTTAAAGCATCGTTACATAAAGGAAAATTATAATTTACATTCTGAAAGCACTCCCACCCGGGTGTCAGGTAAATTTGTGCAGATAAAATATTTCCAAATTAATCTTCTCAGCCAAGAAAATGGCAGTAAGATGTACATGGGCATGTGATGCTTGACAGTGGCACGTGTAAAAAGGAGAAGAAAAAACAAGAGCAATCTTTGCTTTCTGTTTCATTCCACCCTGACAGGTTTGAGATGAGAGATCTGCCCACTGGCTCTCCAGGCATTTTGAACAGGGGGTATTCCTTTCTCTTGCCCGTTTGCAGTGTCTATCTTCCTATGGCTCAGGTTTAAGAAATGGGCTGCCAAAAGCTTCCACTAGCTCTGCCTAGTCCTAAATAGAGGCAATCACTTAGCTCACTTAAGCAAGCAGCAGCAGCACCCAAACACATGCAGAAGAAGGTCAATTTATGATTGTCAGTTCCAGTACAACAACCAAGCAACTCTGGAGCCCTGGCATAGTGACAGGAACCTCCTTCCTGTCATCACTTCTTGCCCACTGTGATATCACAACTCATTTTAGGTTTTCAGCTGTATTATCTGAGGTGAGTGGTCACCAGAGACACCATTCAAGTAAATGTGGAATATAGTCACCTCCAAGTCCAATTCACCCCAGCTGAAACACTAAAGTTACTAATCTTCTGTTTTCAAATTCTTTCTGCTTGAAATATTCCTTGCATTTCACTGGGCAGAGTAAGTACTTCACAAGGTAAACACAGTCAAGTTTACATGCCTGCTACCAAGGGCTACAATTTGGTGATGCCTTTTTTGCTACTGAAATCAAGAAAATGTTGCTGTTACAGGATTTCCAGTCATTCAGAGACACTAACAAAGTGAAAAAGAAAACTCGTGTCAGTATCAAGACAGATTACCCAAGAATACACAACAATGTCAAACACTCCACAGGATTTTCAGCAAAGTGGGGTCTTCCCCTCTAACATACAGATTGCATGATTCCCTTCAGACAGGAGGAACACAAAGGCTGCAGATATGTATGAAAACATCATATTACAGTCTCTGTGGCAGTCTCTGATTTCATACTGGCTGGGGCAGTGTTGGCTTCAATAGTTACTTCAGTGATGGAGAAAACAGCCGATGCCCTCCCCACCCCACATAATTATCAGATGGTAGATATTAACAAATAAGTGCTTGCAGTCACAAGAGTCACCACTGAATTTTGGAGTATGGCATTAGCTGGTAACAATACTGAGATCTTTGATGTAATTTTATTTTAATTGGCCTCTTAACTCATATCAGTGAGTATCATAGAATTGAAAAGGATGGAAAAGACCTCTCAGACCATTAGGTTCAACTGTTGTCCTTTTCTGAAATTTTTTTCTCTTACAAAGGAAGAATATTAATACTGATACTGCCTAAAAAACAAAAGAATCAAAATCAGAAGAATGCAGACAAAACTCAGGAATATAAGCAAAAAGAAGGTGTGATTACCATACAAAATACCAATCTCAACAATAGCTTCAGTCAACTATCCATGACTTCTAGGAGAGAAGTCCTAGGGCAATGGTATGGATTCAGTGCTTTCCGAAAAGCAGCCTGATCTTGAGACATCCTACACTAACTCAGCACCAATAGCAAATGATAAAAATACTGGAATTTCTGTAATTCTACTGTACCCCAAAATCATAAGCAGTTATCACAAACACCTGTAATCCACAGCTGCTGTTCAGAAATGAAAACTGAAGAGAACCACAGTGCCTGCCTCACAACAGTGGAGTTGGTCATTTACTGGTCATGACACTAATTTAGTACAGCCAAACATGCACTACAGTCAAACAATCTGGTACAGTCAAGCAGACCAGCAGTGTAAGTTGCAGGTTCCATAACCCAGATAATTCTGGGCAAAAATTCTGGACACATTATATTGTAGTCGGGAGGGGGAGAAAGAATGTCTTTTCCTCAACTACAGAATTTGTGATGTCTTGTCAGCAGAGTTTTTTCAAGGGATTGGCAGCCTGCTAAGAAGCTAATATACCTCTTTTGATTTTGATTTAAAAGGCTTTCTCTTGAGAGTGATATGTCTTAATTGTCCAGAAAGAAAATGACATCATGGCTGAATCCCCACCTTTCTTGCCGTGTCCAACCCCCTCCTGGGACTGTCTCACTGCCTGAACTTCACCTCTTCTCCACAGCTCCATTCCTCTTACAGCAGCAAGTGCAGTTGAAAGGTCTGTGTCCATCCCAGCTGGGAAAGGCAGGATATCCACTGGGTAGCTCTGCTTACACTGCCAGCAGTGTCTGCATGGCAGAGATGAACCTCTCAGTCTGCACCTGCAGGTCTGAAGCATCCTCCTCAGGAGTCAGAGCAGCTTTGCCTGCACGGCCTGGGAGGTGGCTCTACATCCCAAGGGTTCAAGCAAAGTAAGGGGAAAGAAAGAGCCAAAAAAGTCACAGATGTGGCTCATTTGAGAACAAATTTAATTAATAAATTCCACATAACTGTAACTAGAGTTAATATTAGTACCAAAGCCTTGTAATGGGTTTGCTTGCTAGAGAGATCTGTAAATCACCTACACTCTGACCTGGAGCCTTCTCCTTGCTTACTCTGCTCAAAAATTAATGTCTTTCTATTTCAAAAGGCAAAGCAATTGTTTGAAAGATAACTGCTTTTTACTAAATTTGGACTTGTGAAGCATAATATATGGTTATTTCAATTATCTGACATAATGGATTTTTTGCAAACAAATCCAGAAACATTCCCTCCTCCAATATCTGGATAGAAATATATAAATATATAGCAGGAAAATAAACAAGCAAAGAAAAATAAAGTAGATCTCAATTACTCAAGATATTTTCTAACATAAGTTTTTGAAAAGAAATTATACTTTCCTTTGATACCATTGGGGTTTTAATTTTAGTTCCTAGGATCTTTCATAAGCAGTAAGGTCACTCCTGATCTGCTTCTACAGTTCACTCCTGTAAAGTAACCAGACCTACTAAATGACTACTACTTGTAATACCAACCTTGAAAATGAACACAGGAAAAAATCAAAGTACCTAAGGTTGCTATAAATATAGCACAGTATGGAAAATTATCATAACTAAATGTTTTATATAACTTCTTAACAAGAACATTTGGTCTGAATCCAGAACTCCCAGTTATAACCAAAGTGATTTTAAATAGAACAAGTATGTATTAAAAATTATTATATTTTCTTCTTAAGAAAGGAAATGGTACTTTCTATAAACAAAAGAACATGTGATTTGTTTGACACAGATACAAGTTACAGTGGAAAAAGCTCAGAAATCTTCAAATAAAATTGGCATTTTTAAAAGGATGATTTAACAAATTGATTGGATGAGGTTCAATCAGCCCATACAGTCTGGTAATTCTAGAAATGTCAGTGTAAAAAATCCCACTTTTTTTGCTTTCTGCTACCCAGTGTCACACAGCCACTGTGTGAGAACAGGTTGCCAGCAGCAGTGGGGACCTCACCTTGAGCCCGTGCTGCAGGCACAGTGCTGGCACACCCAGCTCAAACACACCCCTTTGGGGGGCGTGCAGCAGCACCGGGCACCCCCAACACGGGGACTCTGCCCAAGTGCCCAGCCAGCTTCTAGCCATTGCAAGCAAAACCTAATTGCAGTCTAATTATTGCTATAAACTGTCCTAAAATGTGGCCTGAGATTTCCCAGGGAGGGGATATGCAACATTTTGACCCAGCCAGCAAATTTCTTACCGATTTAAAGCCCCAGTGCCAAAGGCTGGGATCACCACAGCCTCCAGAAAAGGTCTACCAGTATTTTTTATTGGGAGAAACTCTTACCTTTTCCATTAGACCTCAACATGAAGAAGTGAGTTCTTTTTGACAATGCAGCTGCTCATTTAGTGAGGCCACAGCTTAGCCAGATGGAAGGTGGAATTCCTATTGATAGAAAGGCTACAATATAAATAAAAGTGCACTTCTGTTACAAGTCATAACCTTGTCTTGAAAAAATATAGCACACATTATTACTTTGTCTGCACTTTGAAACAGAATTCATGATTCATATAAAAACCAAAGTATCCCAGATTATGATGCTACAGCTGAAAATGCACCATTTGCAATTCTCCACTGTCCTCTAAAGGCTGCTTCAGGAATTTCACTCTCTGAGTTTGAAAAGCAAACTCTGTATCTACATACTAGAGCACAAGTCAGTGGGTCCAAGAAATTCTAGAGGTTTATGAAGAGCTGCAGCTGGAGCTCTGCAAGCCACTGCAAAAGACTGGTCTGGCAAGGGACACAGAGTCACCACGCCTGTGACATGGGTGACACTGCACTGGCAGCGTCACTGGCTCTGGCAAGGTATGGGATCAGCAAGATTTCTTCTGCATCCTGATACAGTTAATTTTGCTGGTGAAGTTTGGAAGTCCCTCACCATGGCCAGGTGCTCTTTTCATTTGAGGAGCTTTCTTTAGATTTCCTGAACATTTTACCTGTGAAATACTGGAACCTGTGCATGTGTTCTAGCTCTGGGATAAATCTGGATCTGATTCCGGTTTTGTCTTAAACTTTAGTTGTGTTAATAAAGTGGCAATGAGTGGAAATTATGCTTTTCTCATTTATCAAGTACCATTTTCACGCCACATTTTATGTTCTCTTTATGCTTCCTGTTCACCACTAAATGGCGCAATTTCACTTCTCTCCATCTGACGGTTCAGTTGCTTGTTTTCTAAAGAATTTTAGCTTCTTCCTTTTCTACCCATCATAATATGTTGTATATCTTATTTTTACACATCAGGTTGTTAAAAGAAAGCCCCCAGCTGCCTTTTTAGTTATTATTGCAAGCCTGTGTGTAATTTCCCTCTGTTTTTTTATGTTCTTCAGCAGGTTCAACAAAAGCAGGAGGTAAAACTCAGCACAACTACCCTCGTTTAAGAAGTGAATGCAGTGCCTTCTTAGAAAGCAAGGAAGAAGACTGTTCTTTACCTCTTGGTAATTTTTGGAAAAACTTTACAGGGTGATGAAGTGGCCTTGAGCAGCTTTGGAAAGTGAGAGGCATCCTAGATGCCCAACTGCCTTGTTCTTGTGGCAGGTAACTCAAATGCAAATAATTCATTTTCATTTTCTGTGGCACTGCAAGAATTCATACACGGGGTAATTGCCTTGTGACAGCTTTTTCCTATCATGTGTTTTAATATTCAGACTGATGGTAATAATCACTCCAATTGCATTTTCTATACCCAAATGTTTAGCTAATTTAATTGCTGTTCTGATAACTTCAGAAGGAAAACATTTAACATAATTTGCTCCACAAAGAGCTAAAGTGAATTAACTGTGCAGTGATAGAAATTTCACCTCCTACACTCCTCAGATTTTTCTTGGTATGTTTTTCTTTCTCTACTATTTTCTGAGCGTCTCTTTGGCCACCATTTGATGCCTTTCAGGACTCCTGCTCTCTTCTCTGCCCTTCTCTCCTTCTGTGAATGAACATCCACCAGTTTGGTTTCTTTAACTCTCCTGACCTCTGTGTTCTCTCTGACCCCATACCCCTCTGGTCAGCTTTGGCTTTTCACTGCACTTGAGTCTCTATTTCCACTCACACGATTCAGGTTTTAGTCCAATGAAGTTATGAAAGAATGTACAGTACAGTGTTGTCAGAGTGTATTAGCAAAAAGATAACTTTGGAATAAAAATAGACAACAAATACTGACTGAGGTACTTTTGCTGCTCTTCTGATGAAAGAAAGTAAGCACCAAGTTAATCCTTACGAGTGATTTTCACACCTTGAGGATTGTATTGCATTGAAATGCACCAATCTAACAAAAATAGTTAAAATACTACATTAGGGAGTCTTTTACTTTAGGGAGTCTGAATGGCTCATACCTTAAAGTCATAGTATTCCTTGTCAACATAAAATAAAAATGTTTTCATTATATTTTAAAATTGTCGTTCAGCAAGTCCTCAGAATGATACATGTTAAATCAATCGCAGCAGAAACTTTTCACTCTGAACTACTGCAGATTAAGAAAGAGTATCTTACTTGTAATTTTTTATTATCATACTTGGTACTGTAATTTTGTTTTGTTAAACAGGGTAGAGCAGGCAATGGTTACAATGCCCTTGTAGAAACCAGATAGAACTATTTCCTCTGACTCATGAAACTGCAGGTTCTTGTAACTGTCCCTGCTCTACTTGCCAATATTTGCACACCTCATGCAGCTCTCCCAACTTTTTCCTCTCTCCAGTTAGCTGAATCTTATTAGAAGCTAAAGTGGCATTTTAGATTTCAAGTAATCAACAGATGATTTTCAAAATTAATGAGGCACTTTGGAGAACTCCCTGAGCATCCTTATGTGAGTGTGAAATCCATTCTGTCATCTCTGAGGCTGCTCATGCAGACGAAAATTGAAATGAGTACAAATGTGCAGAGCCACAGCTTGTTTCTAAGGTCAGCATTGGAAAGATTCATGCAAGATCACAGACAACTCCAAAGTCTAGAAGTCTAAAATAAAGCTTCAGTTTCCTGTCCAAATACCTCCCTTTCCCCCAACCATTTATTACCTTGTAACTCTTAGTCTGTTTTAAAAGTTACACATGTACTTAAAGTGTCCTCAATACTGAAAGTCATTGTTGGATGTAGCATACTGGAAGGTATAGCTTCACACTGGCCAAAGATAATTGGCCATTCTTGATAAGAATGCTATTTTAAAAGGTTGAAAAAGTTCTTGTCCAAAATATGAACACCTTACATATGTGACAGGAGGAAGATAAAATCCTACCACAACTAATTTTAACAAAACAAATCACATAGATTTAGGCTTTTCAAATAAATAATTTGCTCCTGTGCAAGGCTGAGAGACTTTGGCATTTATTCACTGCCTCTGGTATAAGAGGAGAAAATGCACAAGGCCTTGACTGAATAAAATCACTTAAATAAAACTGGATTATGATTATATTCTGTCCTTAATCTCCTACCCTAAGCTTATAACTAATTCACTGGAAAAGACATTATATCATGAGCTTCTCCACGTCCTTGTGGATGCTTCTAAAATACTAAACTGCATCATACTGTACCCTGGTGCAGCCAAGCTGTTAGAATCTACAGAGGGAGATGAAATTTTCAGGGTTGTTTTTTAACTTTTTCTTCTTCAGAGGTCATATTGGTCAAGATATTATTTCCCTTCAGTTACCAGAACAATATCTCTTGTAGTTTAAAAGAAAAAAAAATACATTTTCCAGCTCTTTTTCCTTTAAAGCATTTATGATATTGGTAGCACCACATGGATAGCCCTTCACTAGTGTTGCTATGTTGCATTGTATGACACCCTAAGTTGGGTGATAGTTTCGTTCTTGGTTTCTGCATTTCTGTTTTTACTGCAGTTTCTCCAAAATTTCTTTAGGCCTTAGCAAACCTGAAAAGAAAGAGGCCAGGCATGCAGGCTCAGTTAACAATGGCCCTGGGACAGGATACAGTGAGCAGGAGCTGGGCTTGTTTCAGCCCAGAAACATGGCTGGAGACACAGACAGAGAGCTGTATTTGTATTTTCAGACACTGTAACTCTAAGGAAAAAAAACCCACTAAATTACCAGTCAGAAGTGTGCATTAAAAAATAAAGAGCATCCTTGTAGAGCAAATGTGTTACTAATAATTATTCTTTAACATTGACTGCAGTATATAACTTCAGTATTGAAAAATAAAGAGGTGAAAAATCTCTCACATTTCTCCTCAGAACTGTACCTTAATGGTGCTGCTGCCACCCACTACAGGGAAAGCCACTTGTGCAGTCACAGCAGCAGAAGCCTGTCACTATGTGCATTTATGTAGAAGTAAATATTGGTCTTTGGGCACAAATGAAATAAAGGATCATTTCTCTCCAACTTGTTAGGAATTGTTGACAGAAGTGACATCACAAGAAAAAATGTGTAAACTGAAATAAACATACCAGCTGCCAGGTTAGAGGATAAGAGACTGGTGTCCACCCACAAAGAAGGATGGGGACAAGGGCAGGTCCCCACTGCTCCCCTCAGCCTAGCAGTCAGAGCAACTCCTGCAGCAGTGAAGACTTTTTCCAGTTCAACTGGTTGCTGTAGAACCACATCAAAATTATCATTTCCAGCATGGCCAGTACTGAGAGTTTCCTGGGTACTGCTGCATTCATTTTAGGAGCAAAGAGAGTTTAACCTTCCTCTGGACCTTGTCCTCTAGTTCCAACATTGGTGCTGCCTCTCTGGCCTCTGACTTGCCTAGTGATGTGATCATGCAACATTTCTCAACCCAATGGCCAAAAGAGTGCTTGTGCAGCTAATTTTTTTCCTAAGTTTTGGTCAAAACACAATCAAATAATCATTGCTGTTCTTCCAGACTTTTCCACAATATGCTCCCACCACACTGGCAAAAATTGAGTTACACCTGCCTATCAGTGATCCATGACTTTATGATGCCAAACTCATCACTTATCAGGTTTCCCGTGGGTCACAGAGTCCATCCTTGCTCACAGCTGAAATGCTGCCTGCACACTACATCCAGTTACAGCACCTGCACCAGCAGGGCACAGGGTGAGAAGCCTTCCATGTTTTAACAAAAGCAAGGATTCTGAGACCTGCACAACAGGAATCCTGGTGTCCAGAGAGCAAAACACCTAGTCCAGGGCTGCAAGTAGCACATGGTCCCCATCAGAACTCACTGCCATGAGTCACAGCAGCCTTACCTGCATGGCCTGGCAGGTGCCTCTGACTCCCAAGGGTTCCAGCAGAGTAAAGGCAAAAGGCAAAAAAGGCCACAGAGCTGGTTGATCTGAGGGCAATTGTTAATTAATGAACTGCACACAACTCTCAGTGCAGGTAAGACTAGTACCAAAATCCTGCAATGGGAAAGGTTCTATAAATCAATATGCTTCTAATTGGAAGTTTCTCCTTTCTTAACCTGTGAAAAACTTTCAATTACAAAAAGCAACACACTTGTGTGAAAGATAATTGTGGTTTTATTTTTCTAAGCTCGCACTTGTGGAACATAGTAAATGACCAGTATAATGACAACTTTGCAAAAGAAGAATCCCCCTCTCCCCAACATCTGGACAGCAATATATAAATATTTACAATGAACAAAATAGGAAAGTGGAGAGAATGAAGTCAACATTAGCAAAGTCAGTTTGTTTCTACAGCTCTGATTTTGAATATTAAGTATTCAAGCTTAACCAACACTTTCCTTCAGTACTGAGGCTTTAACCTCATTTTTAGATCTTATGTGCAACAGATACACTCCTGACTCTGCTTTTACAGTTTGCTCCTGTACAGCAACCATAGAATTTCCCCACTAAATTTTTATTCCAGGTTTTTAACTGAAAACAACAAAAAAATTAAATATAACTTTATGTCTCCTGATACAAAGTTTCTCACACAGTCAAACACATCACAACACTGAAAATCAGCATAATGAAATGCTGTATAGCTTCTTAACAAGGACAATAGGTCTGGGTCCTGATCTGTTGGCTTTAACAAAAGCTCTCTTCAAATAGAACAAGTACATATAGAAAAAATAACCTTCTTATTTTCTTATTAAAAAAGGAAATGGTACTTTCTATAAACAAAAGAACATGTGATTTCTTTGACACAGATATAAGTTACAGTGGAAAAAGCTCAGAAAGCTTCAAATGAAACTGGTATTTATTTAAAAGGATGATTTAACAAGTTGATTGGATGAGGTTCAATCAGCCCATACAGTCTGAAATTCTAGAAACTTCAGTGTAAAAAACCCTGCTTTTTTTGCTTTCTGCTATCCAGTGTCACACAAGCCCTGGCTGAGAACACGTTGCCTGCAGCAATGGAGACACCGAACCCCCAATCTGGCTGCTCTGTGTCACCACTGGTGGCCGTGGCCAGCGAGAGGCGCCCTTGGCTGCGGTGTCACACGTGGGAGCTCCGCCTGCCCCGCGTGCCCAGCGACACTCGCAGCCGCGGCTCTCTGGCCTTGTAGTGCTCGTTGAAGTCCAGCCTGAAGCTCAGGAACCGAAGGCTCTCGTCAGAACTGGTTGTCAACAGGACCAAGAACTGCTGGACGATTCCCTGAAGAGCAAAGAAAAACCCAAGAGACAGTTAAAAAAGCATTCCTGGTGTGTTTTGAACAGGAATATCAGGTGGTGCACAGACCTGGGAAAAGGCAAGCACAAGGGTTCATATCCAACAGTTATGGCGGTTTCGTTCTTTCTGCAAAAACCCAGAACTTCATTTTTATTTTTCAAATATCTGCTATGCATGCTAGAGTCTCCAGTGCAAACAGCTTGGTCTTTTAAAGTGTGTTCCCTATTCCCTCTGCCCCTCTGGCACACTCCATCTGTCTGAAGGTTCCCAGGCTGCAGAGCAGCTGCCTCTGTGTGCCACTGCCTCAGGACAGCATTAGGTCACTGCTAGCTTCAAACACACCCATTTGATGTGGGTTCTACGGCAGCACGGGGCACCCCAGAACAGCAAAGCTTGTGCCCAGGAGGGCAGTCAGTGCTGCAGACCCAACCAGACTGAGCACTTGAAGTTAATCTGGGGGGATTTGCACTTGGCAGGTGGGAGGTACACTTCTGCATCCCATCTTCCCATTTGGCTCTAGCCACGCCACTGCAGGAGCCCCGCAGGACACAGGAAAGGAGAGGACTTTGCCTGGATGGGAAGACTCATTTGAAGAGCTCACTCCTAATCTCCAGTAATTAGTAACATGAACATGCTCATAACTGGAGCACTCCATTACTTCCAAAGGTGACCAAAGCTGGCCAGGGAAATCCTGTTTGGAAATCTATAATAGGGCTCAGAATTAATACAGTCCAAGTAGGCAAAACCTACGCTGCCAACTTGTAGCAATCTTGCAGAGCACATAAACCACAATTTATTTACAACCTACGCTTAAAGACCTAGGCTCAGTTTTCTGGGGAATGGGAGATTTAGCATCAGATATAACAAATGAAGACAAAGACACAATAAATTACTTACAGAAGATAGCCTGAACATGCTCCCCCAAACATCTTATTCACTGCCACCCCGCAGTGAGCTTAAAATTAAGTGTCAGGCCCTTAATAAGAACTTTCTACAGTCTTTAATAGCAATGACTTGCAAAGTCTGTGAGGAAAAAAATGGAATGCAGAAGGAATTCTTTCTTTTTCCCCCTCAGACTACACCAAAAGATAGCTATTACGTTCACTACTGGAGGAAGAAGACAACTTACATGAAAAGACTCTTCTCCTTTGTCTGGGGAATATAAATGATCACAATACCTTTGACTACTAAGCAACAGTGAACACAGATTTACAAGTAGAGAAGGAAAAAAACAAAGACCTAGCTCCACAAACTGCACACACATGAACAAAGAAATTACATCTACTCAATATTTGAAATTCATTTCTACTAAAGCTCAGCATCTTTTAATAAAATATAATTTAAGAGGCACCTGGTAAAAGTGAGTGAGTATTCGCAGCTGTGAGCACATTTTTGGTATGGAGTCTTGAAATTCTTTCATCCTCTTGTTCTCTTCTTCTTCTTCTGATGCAGTTACACCCCACTTGCCCTACACAGAAGCCAAACAAGTTAAGAGGTGAAGCATCACATGATTCAAGTTGCTAATTGGGCCACCTTCTGCCCAGCTACATCAGATTTATAAAAACCAACCATTGCCATAGGAAGACAAACATAGAGCCTCCAATATGGAAACTATCAGCCCCCCTTGGTGGTTGTACAGCACATAAAAGAAATAAGAAATATAAGCAAGGCAAGTCTCACACCAACAGTGCATGTCAGTCTTGCAGCAAGGAGGCAGACACGGCGCTATGGCATTTTTTGCAAAAGAATTCCATTTACTTAATCTAAAAGAGCCCTAAATTTCTCATCCTCCGAAGTCCACTAGATAAATCAGATTTTGGGGAAGACAGAAATCAAAAACACCACTTAGCGGTTTTGCTTGAACTCAACAGCAGCTTCTGATGACTTTTACATCAGTCCCAACTACATTTTTCATTTTTACTGTGGTGTGGAAAACTGTGTAACATATTACCTCTACATCGTATCTAAAATCCTTCATATAGCACAAGCCTCAATTTGTTTTCACATTCTAGAAATATCCGCATTGTACCTCAAGCTCACGCTGTTTTTTCCTCTCTTCAAATTGCAACCTCAGCTGCAGCTCCTCCAGAGCAGCTCTGTACATTGCATCTTGGGCATTCTGGAGCTCAATGATCTGGTCAAAAACTGCTCGAAGCTGGTTGAGAAGTACCTGTGAGACAGGTAACAAAATAATCAAACAGCTGTACAGCACAGCTCTAGCCTTCTTCAGAAAAGGAGCAAAGAAAAAAGTAAAAGGAAAAATAAGTAAAAGAAAAACGTCTTTTCACAGCTGGAGAGACTATTCTGCAAAGCCCCATGCCAGTAGTTCCATGATCACAGAGCTTCTCAGGATGAAAAAGAACTGGCCCACACTATAGCAAGTTTTATTACCAACATGTGTCACTTGCTGATAATGGGCAGTATGTATTGAACCTACCATTATAAAATATTATATCAGAGAAGTAAAAATTACTTTTCCCTTTGCTCCTACAATGTTAAAGAAGGTTGTTCCTGACATAAATGCCAAGATCATAAAGTTAAAATTACATGCAAAGGAGACGACTTACCCTGGAATCACTATCCAGCAGGCACCGAGCTATGATTGTGTCCAGAAAAACTTCATGAGCTGCAATGATGTGATCCAAGTCCTGTGCTTGTTGAACCTTGTTCCAGAGTTCATCCCATGAACATTCAAGCACCTGCAGCAATGATACAGGATTGGGCTGTTTCAATTTGCTAGATGACAAGCTCTTTGAAATTTAAGACACACAACACATACAGAATATTGCACGTGCTTCATTTTCTAAGTAACTAATTGGGTGGGTAGAGTATACCTCAAATGTAATGTAATACTGCATTTGATGAATGAAATGGACCATTTCTGATGCCAAAACGTGACACTGATGCAATACGCCAGAAAGCTCTGTAAAAAAATCCAAAGAGATGGCATGTTAAAGACTGCAAGGACAAGCACAGCCAACAAATCAGATTGATAAACTCTTTTCACCATAGTGAATACTTCATAACACAGCCACTAATCTTAGATGGTAGCAGCAGTGACCTTCTGAGGCCAGGTGTCCTCTCCCACCCACCAAAAGTTCTTAATTATAAAAGAATAAATTTTTAAGTATTACTATGCCATAAAGAAGTGTAACTCTCAAAAAAATTCAAGAGTGAGCCAGTACAGATGCTCACAAATGTCGCTATATTCTCTAGCTGAGAAATAGGATCAATAAGTCCTGGTCCATAAAACATAAACCAGAGCCACTACATCTCAGAGCTTTCCTATTTCTTCTCAAACATCTTTTTCTTCTTAGCCTCTTCTGTTCTTAGCTAAACAAAAGCAGATGGAATAAGTCAAGGTAAAACTAGTAAATTCAAAACTGTGCATGCATGAGACTTAATAGTTAACAGACAGCATAAGAAAGAGGGAGACATAGGGTACAAACAAGAAGAAGGAATCAAGGAAGATGAATACAAAAGGATGGAAGAGTTACAGTCTCACAACCAGGCCAGCATAAAGATACTTAGAGTAGTGCAACTTTCCAAGACAGGGATCAAGGATTAAGTAAAACAACAGATAGG